CCTTTTTTGGGATTGGGATGTAGACTGATCTTTTCCAATTCTCTGGACACTGCTGAGTTTTCCAAACTTGCTGGAATATTGAATGTAGCACCTTAACAGCATCATCTTTTAAGATATTAAATAGTTCCACTGGAATGCCAACACCTCATGCTGGACTTGTTGTTAGCCATTCTAAGGCCCATTTGACTTCACTCTCCAGGATGTCTGGCTCAAGGGTCAGCAGCCACACTAGCTGGGTTCTCCAGGGCTTCCAAATCTTTCGGTATAATTCCTCTGTGTATTCTTGCCACCTCTTCTTGATGTATTCTGCTTCTGTTAGGTCCCTAACATTTTTGTTCTTGATCCCAAAATTCTACTTTGTGTGAACAAAAATGATTTTCTCTACAAAAATCCTCAAATGTTGTAGCCTTTCATTAAGGTTAACAGTGCTTCACCCTCCTGAACTTTTTGGTTGCTCTATTTTGCATTATTTCCAGCTCTATGATTCCCACCCCCATTTATAAAAGTTGCTGCTTAATGGGTCAGCCAGAACGAGTCAACCAATGTTCAAACTGGGACACACTGCAAGTTCTTAAGTGTATTAAAAAAAGTTGAAATTTTAACTTTTTTTCTAATATAACTTTAAATTTTTCACATAGTCTAGGTACTCAAAGAGCTACACACACAGCTCTAAGATCCTTTCTGGTCACTGATAGCTGAAATCCCATCTAATAAATCAGATTTTTTTGTCCAGAAGCACAGCACTTTGTTCTTACACTGAACCACATTTTGATTTTTTTGGCCACTCGCTTAATTTGAAGGAATCCCTCAGGAGCTCTATTGTCTACTTGTGTTTTTACCAGCCTTGCCATTATTCCCCAAACATGGCAATATTATTGTTCTCATTTAACTCCAGATCATTTATGAACAAGTTAAAAAACATGTTTCTAACAGATCCTTGAGGAGTCCACTTAGTTGTTTCCTTGTGAAATCTAGTCATTATTTCTCTTATACATCTCCTATTATTCAATCAGCCATCAACTCTTAAGATGAGCTTTCCTCTTATATCACAACTGCTAAATTCATACTTAAACCTTCTGTTAAGGCATTTTGTCACTCTGTACTGGACCATGGTTAAGGACATCCTTTCTGACAACCTCAAAGATGTTTACAAGATGTACAAGTATGAAGGCAAGGTGGACAAGAGTGTGCCGTCTCCTCCAGATAGCAGGGACATGATGGTCAAAGAAAGGGAGAGGGATGTGAAGAGTTAAAATAGACGTTTGTTTGACAGAAGAGGGGAAGGGAAAGGAGGAGGAGCAAATGATTGATGTGTGGGAGGAGGATATAAAAGTAGGAACAGGCGCGCGGGATTTTTGGATTTCAACAAGCAAGAAAGAGAGAGAGGAAAAGAAACGTGATCATGCGAGTGAACTGTTGAAAGACGTTCCCAATCTGAAAGTGGGAGGTTTACTGCCAAACCCAATACCAGAAAGAGAGGGAGTGACCACCACCGAGAATTCAGAGTGGACAGTAGTGGTCTTTCCGAGGGGAAGAGGTCACTCGAAGAAGGTGGTGTGCCCAGATCCCACCTACAATAAGCCACCACCGGAGGGGGATTGGGCTCGCCACCCATGCTGTGGCACCATTTGCGCGGTGAGGAGCGCCCCATCAAGGAAGCCAACAGACAAGGAACGCTTTGGCCCGGCTCCCCAGTATTAAGAAGAGAAGCTGGATATAATAGTTCTGTCAAGTTTGGGAAACCGTTGTATGATTGGGACCTTGTTTATCCTACAGAAGTTGTCACTGATACACCTTTGCTGAATATGAATAAATCTGTTAATGGTTTAAATGAGTCTACCGTTTCAATTTCCGCGCCACATTCGGGACTGCCTAAGAACAAGGCAGGCTTACCCTCTCTTTCTTCTACAGGCAAGGACTCGTTCTTCTATACAATGGAGAATTTGATCCTTAGTACTATTTACTATCAATTTATCCAGAAGAAATGTTAAACTGACTGAACTCAAGCAAGCATTTTCTGATATGTGATGTCTTCAACCTTATCCAAACTGTGGAGGTAAGCTATCACGTGTGAGACAGCCTTCTACATATCTTTATCCATCCCACCCTCACCTCTGCAACACACCTATCGCAACTCCTCTCTATGGACACAGTACACAATATTGGAACTTTTTCCTCTATATATCTTTTGTGTCCTGAAACATAAGCAAAGCATACAAATTATACTTTCAAGGGCTTAATCACATTTCACTCTTTGATAGTGTGAGCCCAAGACCTTACTCTCTAACAGTTAATTTAATACCATCATGATCTCATACTTACCCAACCTTGGCATAACAGCTCCCAAAAATTGTTCATCTTCTTGGAAGTGATTTTCTTGAAGAGATTCAAGCAATTTCTGCAAAATGTCCTGAGGCACTTTACAGCCGGTGCCTTTAAGTTCTGTGAATCGAGTTAGTCGAAAGCTCTTGTCAAGTTCGTAACTTTCTGGATTAAAGGACTCCCGAACAGACATGAACCTTTGCTGAATATGAATAAATCTGTTAATGGTTTAAATGAGTCTACCGTTTCAATTTCCGCGCCACATTCGGGACTGCCTAAGAACAAGGCAGGCTTACCTTCTCTTTCTTCTACAGGCAAGGACTCGTTCTTCTATACAATGGAGAATTTGATCCTTAGTACTATTTACTATCAATTTATCCAGAAGAAATGTTAAACTGACTGAACTCAAGCAAGCATTTTCTGATATGTGATGTCTTCAACCTTATCCAAACTGTGGAGGTAAGCTATCACGTGTGAGACAGCCTTCTACATATCTTTATCCATCCCACCCTCACCTCTGCAACACACCTATCGCAACTCCTCTCTATGGACACAGTACACAATATTGGAACTTTTTCCTCTATACACCTTTTGTGTCCTGAAACATAAGCAAAGCATACAAATTATACTTTCAAGGGCTTAATCACATTTCACTCTTTGATAGTGTGAGCCCAAGACCTTACTCTCTAACAGTTAATTTAATACCATCATGATCTCATACTTACCCAACCTTGGCATAACAGCTCCCAAAAATTGTTCATCTTCTTGGAAGTGATTTTCTTGAAGAGATTCAAGCAATTTCTGCAAAATGTCCTGAGGCACTTTACAGCCGGTGCCTTTAAGTTCTGTGAATCGAGTTAGTCGAAAGCTCTTGTCAAGTTCGTAACTTTCTGGATTAAAGGACTCCCGAACAGACATGATGCTAACTCAGTACGTAGCAGGAGCTCTTCCTCTTCCTTATGCAGTGCAATGGTTCGTTTTCTTGGTAATTAGCCTAGTTTAAAGGAGAGGGGTATAAGATTGTAATATGTTATCAAATAAATACAAAGTCATGACAACACAACAGTTCTGTACTACTTCTACAGTATCTCCCCCACTTCTATATAAAAATCTGAACTGTCACTATGTGCTGCACAAATGAACAGATGAAAGCCACATTTTCCAAATATTCCTGGTCTGCACATTTCAAAACAGGCAATACTCATTTCTGCATAGAAATTCCACCCCCTTCTAAGAAAGATATTTTCCTCCCCACCCATCTCCCTTTTTGTTTCGTGACCTATCTTTTTAGATTATAAACGTGAAGAAAAGGATGGTTGTGTTTTTTACTGATTTGAAAGTCATTCTGAAAGAAATAAAGACACAGGTTTGGTTTCATTTCACAAGATTCCATTGTACATTGTAGTATAAAAATTCAGTGAAGATTTAAATCTCAGTGTTTGCTCCTCAGTGTGACTGTGTATAATATTTCAAATATTGTATTATATGTAGTTCATAAATGTACGTTCTTCAGACTGAAGTAAAGAGCTTTGCTAACATCCAAACTTAAGGCCTATTCACATGGGGCTAAATCCAATGTTAGCCTCAGCTAGAGCAGTCTTATGATTCACAGGATTTTAAAGACAACAGCTTATTAAAGTTCTATTGATTTCAATGGGTCTCCTCTTGTTGGAGCAAACACTGGATTTAGTGTTCTTCTGACTTCACAGACTCATGTGACTTACCACAACTGAACACAATTTTCACAATGGCATCACTAACCTGAAGATAGTTTTAGACTGATGTGCCGAAAAAGCAAATGGACTGAATTCTATACATAACAATGAAATTACTGTGGTCTCCCCAAAAGTGCTAGAAAGTTATGTATTTTAAGTTCTTTCTAGAGCTACACCCTTTTAAAAGAATGGATAGACAAACATTTATTACAGTGAATAAAATCAGAAATTACCTTATGAAACTGTTCTGCCAATATATGGAACCAATTAAATGCTGTCTTGGAGGGTTGAAGAGGCAAGAAGTAGGTCTATTGGAAGGATATTACAACAACCTGGTGCCACCCCCAAAAGAACAGTTTCCTAGCAAAGTCCTTTCTCAAGTGCACTCTAATCTTACTTATTCTCAATGACAGGACCTCTGTAAATCTTCTAGCACCATCCTGGTTCTTAGTATATGGACACAATTTTACAGAAGAATGCTCTCCTTCAGATAACTTTCAAGGTTGTTGGTGGGGTGAGATGTAGTTAAATCTAAAATTTAGATCTATATAGTAATCAGTACAATTTACATAGAACTGGAAGTTGTTCAGATTTTCTAGTGCCCACTAACATCGAGGCAGGTGCATTCTGCAGAAACTCCCAGTGTTGTGACTGGAGACTAGAGTGTAACTGTCGTGTAACTGGGACTTGGGATATACAGGTTCAAATCCCTAATTAGCCATGAAAGTCACTGGGTGACCCTGAAGTAGACATAATTTCAGCCCAACTTACCTCACAAGGTAGTTGTGAGGATAAAATGGATGGGAGATTAATTTTCTGGAGAAAAGGTGGGACCAACGCATAACAAAAAACTGTGAGTACAATATTATTCTAAGTTTATAACCAGAAACCATGGATAGTAGTGAACCCAACATACAAGGAAACAAGACAAACGCCATAAGGCCCATCCCCTTTAATGTTAAATATAGGGCTGCAGTAAACTGCAGGTAACTGAAACTGCAGATACCAATCCCATGGATATAAGTGTTCCACTGTATACAGGAGGAGCAGATCACATATAATTTGTTCCCATGTTACAATTCCTCATGTGAAATTGTGGAAAGAACAACTCATTGAATGTTGGAATCAACTCCCATCTCTTAATTTGAACAAAAACCAACTTTAGTAAGTTAAAACTTTCTAATACATTTCACCGATATGTAATGCTGCCCAACTGCACAATCTTGTGTATACTTCGCTGGATCTTACTGCTTCCACAAAAACATGCTGTCTTTTCTCATTCCTGATGTTCCTGTGCACCCTTAAAGCCTTTGTTGGGAGACTGGAAAACTTGCTGGAGCCAATTTGGGGGTGATCACAAAGAGCTATACAAAGCAAATATATAAATGATGCTGTAAGGGAAGAAAATAAAAGTCCCAAATTCACTGGTGTGGAATACAGCAGACTATCATTAGATATTGTCCACCGAGATTAATGTGGCATATTTCCAGATAAATCAGTACTGAAATTCATTAGGCATCCTTCAGTCTCGAAAGACTATGGTAACATGCTCTGTATGGAGGACTTGGAACAGTGTCTAGTGTGGCTGAGAAGGACAATTCGAGAGTGACAATCCCTTCCACATTGAAGACAAATACAATCTGTCTCCTGCCCAGCTCCCTGATTTTGCTGCTTCTGTGACTTCCTCTTTGCCTTGGCTTGCTGGACACGGGTCTCTTCCAACTGGGAGAGGACGTGATGCAACGCCTGCCTCCAGGCTGAATGCTCAGATGTCAGGGTTTCCCATCTGTTGAGGTCCATTCCTAAGGCCTTCAGTACAGTCTGAATAGTGTATACAGTTAAAATGTATCAGGAAGAAATCACCCTGGCACTATTTAAAATCATCTGACTTCCTCAAAAATTCTGCCAGATAGAAAATTGCAGTTGGAAATAGAGGGAGAGTGTCTACTCACACCACTGGTAGTACAACCCTATACAATCACTGAGTCAAGGACAAAAAACACTTAACTTCCATAGTCATTTTCAGCATATTTAATGGAAGATCAGTTTTAAATCCTGCCACCAATCAGAAACTAAACTTTAAAAGTTTCCCTTTTCCATTCCTGAAAGGTGTATAAATCGTCATAGCAAAATTTAGGTCAAGTAGTAAACCATCCACTTCTATAAGAACCATTTACTTTATAGACATACAAAGAATCCCCCCATCACACCTGATGGGGAGAAAGGAAATAAACAAATAACTAAATGATACACAATTCACAATCTTGACTGAACTTTCAGTATAGGAAATATGTCTTTTCTCTCCGTGTGGTTTAACAAACAATAAAAAGCAGCAGAAAGACCCTGGCAATTTCAATGAGCAACTGCAGGGCTTGCAAAACTGTACTTCTTCCACTACTTTGGAATTACTTTCTGTGATTTTATTTCACGACAGAGATTTAAATAAACCTGCAGCTTTGCCTATTTTTTTCTTCTTTGCAGAAAGACTCCACCGGCCGCACAGCCTTCTTTAGTCCAAAAATCGGAACGGAACAGACTGATTTATTAGAACCAAAGTATGAAAGTACGAAGCAGCCGCGGGAGCACCGACATTTCAGGTAGGCCGATATGCCTGGCGCTGAAGTCGGCAGGCTGAGCCACGTGGGGGGAAAAAAGACAAAAACTACCCGAAATCTAGGAAGCACAAGAGGGCATCCCTGCCCTGGAGCGCCGAGGCGAGCACGGCGGGAAGCCGTAGCCCTGGGACACCTTAAATTTCCAAGCTGCCAGCCTTTAAAGGCAAAGCAAGGCCTTTCAGCCGCAACTCCAGCGGCCGGGCTCCCCGCCTCCTGCAAACAGCTCGCGTTCCCGCCTTCTTTCACCAACCAAACCTACTCGCGGCTGACGTCGTCTTCCCTCTCTCCCAAATATAAACCGTGCGGAACAGGGCCCCCCCTCG